CCAGTGAAGAGACTTACAATGAATGCAAGGCAATGCTGTTATTCTAATGAGACACAGCATCTCCATTCACAGAGTACAGTGTTACTTGGCCTCTGTTTCACAAAGTCTAAAGTGTGTCAGCATAAAAATAAAGGTATTTGATTTCTGGAATATGTAATGGTTGCACCTATATTAAATCTCCCCATATGGATCATCAATATAATACATTTCTCCAACAAAAATACCGAGACACTCTGCAGAGTAGTCTTGAATTAAGTGAACCACAAGGAATTACATGAAATAAAACTAAAGAAACTCAGATTATAAGGACCAAAACCTAATTTCACTATAAATTAAAAGTGGGGGGGGGGGCGGGTGAGGAAAGCCTCACTTCACTGTTGTTATTTGTCCGTTCCGCATTGTGATGGCTGTATATACATGATTATATAAATATATATATATGTCTGTTTAAGTTCTTAGCCTGAGTAAACAAGTCACTCTCTCCTTTTTTCAGTCCAGGACAAGTGATGTAATGTGGTTTTGTTTGTGTGCATGAGGTGAAACACGTATTTATACAATAATGGATTGTCAGTGCACAGCACTGAGCGCTTATTGTAATGACAAGAAAATCATTGTTACTTTCTGATGGTCTGAGACCATGTGAATGGTGCCCAGGATACGGTTCAGACTGCACTGCTGCCACTTTTTAAGGTGCCAGTACCTGAAACGCCTGCTGGCGGCGGCAGTGGTGAGTGTGCGCAGGTGTGTTTGTGCACGAGGGAATACATACATGTGAGTGTCAACAGAGGACAGGCAATGGGCAGAGACCTGTTCAAAGAGAAGGACACAGGCACAGGCAGGAGGGAGACTAATGAAAGCAAAGCAGGTGAGTTCCAGCCCAAGCAATCTGAAAGGAAGCAACCACAGCTGCCAGTGCACATTCCCAGACGACACCAGAGGAAATCTGTATTTAGAAGGCAGTGCAAATACTAAAAAGGGGTTGGGGAAGATCCCAACCAATGAAGAACGAATATACTATTCCAAATCCTGTTCTAGACATGAATTATACACATACCTACAGGGTGTCCACAGCACAGAGGAGGGAGTAGTTTTTCTGGAAATTTTCATCATTGGAATATGATTTATAGATGCATAATGAGGTCATGAAAGGGAAGATCTTATTAGGCAGCTCTGTTTATGTGAGATGTGATATCCCGAGGAGTACATGAGGAGGGAGGGAAGGCAAGTGCCGCTCTATATCCGATAGGGGACATGCTAAATAAATGATGTCATTTGGTTCAATGCTTGAAAGAGTTAGGCAGATGATTTTTATTTTATTTAAAAATAGTTCTTGGAGAATTCAGGCAGTAATCTGGATTGGGCTAACATACTGTGCTCACATACAAAATTATTATCAGATTGTCCCAAGGTGCTGTTTTTTACAATCAGTCACAATGAATGAAAGCCTTGGGTCGTACAAGCTATGTGAAAAGAAGTCATCCTCTTGATTTAGCTATGTAAGTTACCTATGATGGGAAAAAGCTAGAGAAGTTTGCTGTTGTTGGGGGTGTCTGTGGGTGGTGGTGGTTGTGGGGTTTTTTTAATGATTATGAAAAAAGAGTGATACTGTACTGTGCCAGGTTCAACTAGTAAGACACACACACCCAGCAGTGAGAGAAGAAGTAGGTAGAAGCCTCATCACTTGCCATGCAAGCTGTAAACACACATATATACTGAGATAGCCACAGTTGTTCAGCCCTCTCTGAAATACCAGGAACCACTAAAAACTCAGTGGTCTATAATGTGATACCTCTCCCATGACCAGCCACTAATGCATCATCAGTCTGATGTCTCTATACGTAACTCAGGCACCCTTGAGCAGGTTGCCGGTATCTTCACGCACTCCTGTGAAGCCTCTTCACATACAGGTTCTTCACAGGCAAGAGAACCTTCTACCTTTTATTCTAATGTCTGTTATTAAGCTGTTTCATTTTCACACTTTAGCGAGAACACTCTAGCCATTGGATGTTAATGTACAAATGCAAAAAGGCAACCGAGAAAACACTTGTTGGCCACTCAAGACACAGGTTTAGACAATAAGTGATTTTTACCAGCTCTGTAGAATCCAGAACATGATGTACTTTTTGATTATATGATTATTATTTACTTAATAACATCCTGATGCAGAGACATCTCTATCAAATTATAAGTTTCTTATAAGTGGTGTAGTTTCTGCTCGTGTGTTTCTATAGTAGTTGATAAAATAAGGGCACAGACTGACTGTTTCTATGGGTTCTGTGAGCCCCAGGAATGAAAAAAATATTTATCACTGAAATATTAACATTGTTGTAAAGCTGACAGAAATGAGACTTTTTCAGTTTATAAGAGTACAGAAAATAAAGGTAGAGATGAACTGTAAAACAGAGGTGCGCCATCCCTTATCATTACACTTAAGGGGAAGCTATAAAATGACAGTAAAAAGCAACTAGTGCTTCCCTCAGTCCCCCCCTCCCCGAATTCTAATGCAGCAGTAAAATGGCGTATGTCAGTAATAAAAATAAAATGTCTGTGACATTTTAAATGTTATCGTACTGTCACCGCGGAATAAAATTAGCTTGAAGAATGATCTAAAGGGATATGATGCCGTTCATTATGTATAACAGCAACAGCAGCAGTTTCCCAGTGTTCATAAAGGTTTCTCCATTAAATTTACCTCCAGTCAATAATTAGGAGTCCACAAATAAACCTAGGCAATTAAATCAATACTGCTGGGCAATTATCTTCCAAAGTTCTGGCTCAATGGCACAAAAAGACACTATATCAAACTGCAATATTACGTGATCCGATGCAATTTTCAATCAAATATTTTCTCACAATAACAGAAAAGGGCAAGCCTGCATCATTTGTTCAAGGGGCAAATGGGTACCCAGTTTGCCAACCCATAACGCCGAGTGAGCAGTCTGTTCCAAGCAACAGCCTGAAAGAAAGCTTTCATTTCACCATGAGGTTCAGTTTTCTGATCAGAAATAGTAACAATGCCTGCTAAAAGAAATCACAACCAAACTCTTCAAGGTATGAGTTAAGCAAGAGGCATAGAGCTCTTCCATGAGCTGCTCCCAAATGGAGACCAAAAAACCTTAGCAATTCCCATTCATGTGACTTAGCATGGACAGAAATGCAAAGCAGAGCTGGCTGTTCCCAAAAAGCAACAATCCCCTTGCTATTCTAAAGACAGTTGTCTTGCCAAGAGGGTTTTTTTTACCCTCAGATTGTCTCCTGAAGAACTCCACAAGATGGAGCAAAAATCACTATTAATTTGTACACAGACTGATGCAGCTAAGAACAATAAGCTCCTCCATCCTTAGCTAACATTTGCAATCCTAATATAGCTGGTTATACAGTCAACAACCCCCTCACTCTCTGTGCCCTGTTTTTTGCTGTCTGCCTCTATCAGATGAAGAGAACTGATAAAAATCTGCCTAGGATTTTTTAACGATCTGCCGAAGAACATTAACAAAAAATAGAATCAGAATTCTATGTTGTATTCCATGAATCTGATTCTTATTTTGGACTCCATAATATGGACGGAATCTTGAAGTCCATAGATTTTTAAAAAGTCTTAAAATGAAGGGAATTTAGTAAATAGAAATATTTGTGCTTTTACTGCTGAGTTCCACGTAACACTATGAGGTTAAATTAAAATGCCAAGATTTCTGACAAAGCCAGTAAAAGCAAACTGGCATTTGCATCTCCTCCACTGCAGAAATTAAGCAGTCTGGATGGTAGTAAGTTTCGATAATGAAAGAGGCAAAAACTGTTATTTCTTAAAAATCTGGTCATAGGACACAACCTAGACACAAAAGCTATTGATGATAGAATACATAAATCTGAATGTGATTGTTCCTTTGAAATGGCTTTCAAAGTATTGTCAGTCATTCACATTCTTAACCAAGATGAACTACATCACTAATGGACCCATGCTAGAGAATATGCATTAGGAACACTGGATTTATAAAACAAATTTTATTTCCTTTCAGACATCAGCTACCCATCATCTGAATAAAGGAGACAACTAAAATATAATGGAAAAGTTTCAAGAGTCAGTGTATGTTGTCAGTGATGTCCAAACAAAAGCTGACTATGGCTAGAAAAGCAGGGCTCTCACCTGCCAATAAACTGCCCTTGATCACTTACAAGAGGGGAGCATCCCAGCAGACTCTGTGTGTATTAAAAAAAAGACTTGAAAGAGAAGAAAAAGTATCACACAGGTCACAGCGGCAGTCTCAATGGACCCCTCAGGGATTTCTGCTAGTCTCAGCCTTGTCATCCTCTATGCAGCTTTCCTCTCTGCCCAGAAAACGTCGATAGGAAAATGTTTGAGGGGCCTCTGGTGGAAATTTTTTCATTCTTTCTGCATTGACAGGATGCCAAATCAATATTTACTTCCCACTAACAAGCTGCTCGAGGTCTCAGTAGAAAATATTGTAGAGAATGCGGGAAGACACGATAATAAACAGCTGTCTGGCTATGAGGAAAACATGAATTGACTGGAAACAGGTCCACAGTAAAAGGTCACTGAAACCCATGAACTCCTCAGGTGTCCATATCAACTCCTAACTTTAAAGGCACGTAATAAAAAATCTCTTTTTCCTAAGAGGTATGAGAGAATGGATCCTTTTCACTCTAGCAAGCATTACACGCTGTTTCAATAATTCAATTAACACATTTGCCAAGATCTGTGCTGGTTTCCTCCAGCACTGTTTCACTGTTTTCAGCTGTAAAGTTAACTATCATAAATCCTTGGTTAACATCTCTTCAGTTTTATCCAGTGACTCTTATTTTAAGAGAAATAAAAAGGAAATGCTACAAAACAAGATTGTTACATTGCCTTATTGCAGTATAGTTTGAGACCATCAGTGGCAACATAATTACACATGCAATGGATTAATTACAAATGAAAAACACTCAGTTACTTAGAGTAAAAAGCTGTAATTCATTAAGGGAAGATATAAATTTAGCACCTGTGCTTCAAGAAGTTTCTGTATACGCTGCAGCCATTCTTTATCTTTTTCAAACTCCATTCTTGTCTTTGCTGTCTCCTAAAAACAGAAAAATACAACACAGACACAATATTTTGATACCATCTGAGAAAAACTTAAAGAACAATAAAGGAAATAGATATACATTAAATAAACAGTATATGGAGGTGGGAACTATGCTTGCTTTATCTGAAGCATATCCACCAAGTATGAGGGCCCTCTGAAGTTTATAAACCTGTCCCTGTTCGTGCACATCCCTAGAAATGTGCCCGTTATTTTCACATTCGTATGTAGGTGTACGTGTGACCTATGTGAAAATTTCACGTGTTAATTGTACAAGTTCCTGAGTCTACACACTGGTAAATGGAATATGTATGTAAAATGTGCAGTGTATACTCATCACCTGTGTTTTAAATCTGTTTTTTTATTTATACTTAAGCATATTTGTGTTTTATACATATATTCATAACGGTGATCACAAGAAAAAATACAGGATGTAGAAATTACTTTGGCAATGAGGTAAGTGTGGAAAGATTCTGTCAAAGTGAATCACTTTACAGGGGGGCATAAATGTTAGTAAACAGGGCAGGGATCAGTCCTTTTTGTTTGTTCTCATGAATGTAATTCATAACAGTGCATACACATGAGATGCACTTTTATTTAACCAACGTGAAAACTCTCTTCTGTGACTTCGGTAATACAAGTCTCCATAAGGCTAAACCTAAGCCATCACTAAAGTACTGTCAGAGTCCAACAATGGCCAACTCCTAGACACTCTTATTAAAGGAAGTGTACAGGCTTTACCATGTATTATTTGATCAGGCCTAAATAAATCTGGATAAGAAACCCTACTACTGTGTTTATTTAATAGAAGGTGATTTGATGAAACACCATCAAATATTTCACAGTAAAATGTATGACAGAATCAACTAGAAAAGGCAATGGATTCCCCCAGAAACCATCCGTCTACTAGAAATACCTTTAATAGGTATCACAATTCGAGAAAGGAAGCATCGACAGAATCAATCTGGCACAGCAAGACATTCTAAGTTTGTCTTCATTAACACAGAAGTCTATTTAAAATGCATAACCCTGCCAAATAATCTCATGAAAAAGGAAACTACTAAGGATTTTCAAATAACGTCTCCACATCTTCATGCTCAAAACAGTATATTTATATTTTATTTATGTATACCCAAAGTCTTGCCACCTTATGAGTCTCTAACCTGACCTTTTTATTTAAATCCAACTATTCTGTTCTTTCTGTGATGAATGCTGCACAATGAAATTCCAGTCTTTACCTGGAAAACCTTTTCCTCAAGACCAGAAATATATAGCATCTTCTGATCTAGCCTGTTTTTAGTGAAGAGTCTTTAAAATAACTTACCTCATCATCTCCTAATACCTCCTCAAGATCAGCTGTCGAAACTTTAAGAATAGACGCTGCCAACCGAAAAGACTCGTGGGAAAGACCCTTTTTGCACAGTCTCCCTTCACCCTTGTTTTTTGCCTGTCTGATTTTTATTCTCAGCTCTTGTACGCTGCGCTGTAACTCTCTGGTTAGAACCTGGGAGATGCAAGCAAAAAATATTGTGTTGTCATTTTTCTTGAAGTGCCAACACTATGGAAAATACAGTATCATTTAGACTAAGCTCCTTTAGATGAGTACTGTTTTCTTTCTGTGTTACTGGTTTAATAGAATATGTGCTGTAAGGTTAAATAACATGGTATTTAGAACACAAAAAATGAATTTTAATATATGAAACCAGAAAATGTTCTTACACAGAGGTAAAATTCTTCTGTATTTCTTTAGCAAGATAACTGTATTTATAATTCCATCAAACAAAGCAGCTTCCACAGAATCAATTAAAAAGCCTTTCCTGATGCAGTCTACCAGAAACATTCCTGAAATAACTGAAAAGCCTGAAGAGTCAGGCTTTAGTGTGGCCAGACAGAGATCATTGGAAAGCTTGTTCATAGCTCAGTGACTGAAGAAACACCAGTATACCTCTTCAGTCAAACCTGAAATTTTGGTTCCCACCAAGACAAGGTAATTCAAAACTGTCCTGGATACTGATTGCTCCTGATACAATTTCTACAGTTTAAATCAACAGTGGTTAAATAAGCAGCACGCCCTTGGAGCACACAAGTCCACCACATTATTATTCAAGGCTTGCACAGGAAAGGCTGTATTCTCCATGCGGCTGGCCAACACAGAAGGCCTAGCCAGGCCAGGCAGTGTCTTTGCTAGTCTGCCCTTAGCAGGTAGTGGGTGTTTTAAACAGACACCAGCTCAGGCGATGGGAGGAAGATCAGATGCCAGACCAGAACCGCTGCAATTGTTCATTAACCCTGGCTTTGACAAGGTCTGAAGCAGCAGCGCTAAGAGAAGCCTCAATTTTAGACCCCATTTCTGCTGTTGAAGACTTTTAGTTAGTTTTAAGCAAGAACTAGAGCTTGATAAGGATGTATTATGCTGCTAATTCAGCATAAGTAAACTGCCTTTATTGTCACTAGTACTATTACTAGTAACTAATAAAGGCAATAATAATAAATGACAATTTTTCTGTGATCATTTCTGAAACGTGGTGTACACTGCTAAGCCAAACATATGCTTGCCTCTTAGAAAAAGTCCAGAAAAAGCAGAGAATACTATTAAAAGTGTTTGAAAGGTTTACATGATAGGAAAGCAGAACCATTATCTGGAGTGGAAAAATGGGATTACTGGGATTTGGTAAAGCTGAGGTAAATAAAGAGGAAAAGTAAAGAATAGTGGGATGACTAGACAAAAAACCGTACTGAAGAAGAAACCCAGCAGGGGTGAGCCCACTCTCCTTTGTTTATTTAAAAATAGACTAAAAGAAACAGTATGAAACATCAAAAGCTGAAAAGACTCTGTTGACCTGAATGAAAGCTGAGTGGAATCCAAACCTGATTTTGTTTTTTGTTCCCCAACACCACACAAGTACCGAGCTTGAGTAATACCTTCCACAGCAGAACATGAGCCAAATTGCACAACAAAGAACTCTCCAATTCCTAAAGTTCTCTGGTTCAGTGAAATAACACTAAGCATTAGTAAAAATCATTGCTTGAATAACTGAAGTGTTATTTCATATCAATATTTATACAACTATGACAAAAGCATTTTGTCAAAAGCAGAGCAATACAAGTTCATTTTAAAATTGTTGTCTGAGAGACAAGAGCAGTAACTCATTGTTGGAAGATGCTCCTAGCACATTCAACTTCCATGAGTCAAGCAGACCTGTGATTGTCAACACAGACACCTTGGCTGAGTTTAAAATGAGAGAATAAAGTTTACTTTCGATCGTCATATGTGGAGCTCATCTTATTAAACTATCTCTCACCAGCAGCTGATAAACTCCTGAAAATTCTTTTTTCTGCAGAGTGCCTTCATCTCATAGAAACTGACTGCAGAATTATGAAGCCTGTTTATTGGCATTTAGAGGTAGAGCACTCTACAGCCTCTAGTGTATTCAAAATACAGTCATTAGAGACCATCTGCTGATGTATTTCAAAGAAAGCACAACAGATTCATCCCATTCCAAGATTTGTCGATTTTTCTACCACTTCCGAACTTAACAGTTTTCTGTATTTAACTAAAATTTAACCATTAAAAACATTACCCTACCACAGATTTGGGAAGAGGAGGTACAATGAAATTTATCTTATTTTCTGATTGCAGTGTGGGTCCCTCCATCCACAGTATTTCCAACAAAATGAATTATTATACACAGACCTGTCTGCAAGTACGGAGCTGAGAGGAATGGAGAAACTTGAAATGTTACAGGCAGGGAGCTAGGGCAACTTGGACCAAGCTCATAGAAGGAAACAGACTTAAGATAGGAGAGACCGTCAAGTAGAAAAGCACACACTAAGGAAAAAAAAAAAAACCAGAAAAATCACACCATGTTTTTTAGCACTTGAAATGGTCCAACAGTAAATCAGCTCCTGCAACATGTAGCAGATGTATTTGACAGTGAAAAAATAAACTCAACTGAACTTTTTCAATCAAAGTGAATCAGCTCCCTAGATTTTAAAAGCAAGGAGAGATCTCTCAGACACAGATGTTCAGGCTAGAGGATCCACATCTGTATGCTGGTGCAAAGATGAAATGTAAATTAAAGGACTAAAATAGCAAGGAAATTAACTGCAAAGCCACCTGGAAAGACTACCAATAATAACAAATAGCCAAGCACAAACAAACAAACAAAAAGCATGAAAATAAACAAAGTTAGACATACACTTGAACATCTCCGACAACATACAAACGTTGCCAGACAACGGTCTTATGATATTATTAGATAAATTTTATCCGTGTGTTCATACTCCAAAAGAGGTTCATGAATGAACAAACTGATTGCAATAGCAACAATGGAAGCCACAAACAGCAGCTCCACTATACTTGTCTTTTAGTTCTGGATTCCAGAAAGAAATCTATAGCAGCAATAAAAAAAAAAAAAAAAAGGTTTAAACAAAAATCAAGGAAAGAGAAAATTACAGCTAATGGACTTAGATATGCAAGCATACACATTATATGTAATCACAGTAGATCATACGTAGAGAGGACTTTCCTTTTTTCCCTGAGCAGTTCTAATACCCTAAAGCATACGTGAAATACACACCATATGTGAAAAATAAGGCTACTTCATGGATTTCCAAATTGGACACTCAGAGACCAGCTATTTTTAAACCTGCCTTCTTCACATTATTAAGTTGTAATAGTAAGTGTTTTGATATGCATTTTTCACTTCATAAGTGCCTTAAAAATAATAGCATCTCCATGACATTTTTTTTCTGTTGATATATTCTCATGTGTCGTATACTAATATATTCATGTGCTAAATTGCTTACTTTTTAATGATTTCATCTAGGTGTCAGTTCATGCTTTACTACAAACATGTTCAATGTCAAAGACACACAGGTCTTTAACTGAGTTAGGAAGAGCTGTTTCCAAACTGGAAATGACAAAAACCAACACAGGTTCTGTCGGTGAGTGCACTGAAGTCAGTGAAATACCATTCTTTGATTAAGAAATTGATCTAGTGAACTCTGAAGCTAAGTGTAGGATTTTAAACACAAAGATTTCCCACTGTGTATTTCAGAACTGCTTGTTTTTAAGCTAGTAAGTATACATAGGTGATACAAACTGCCTGCAATGAAATCAATGCAGAATATGGCTTCAGACTATATCAATATATGGTAACAATGCCTTTATTAATACTAGTAATACTAGGATTTATCTTTTATCTTTTTTTTTTTCTTTGGTATCACATCTATGAGATATTTTGTTAGTAAAGCCATTTTCCTAACTTATATGTTACCATCAGAGTTATTCCTGTGGGACACACTTAACTGCTACCAGCCAACGAGAATAGGAACCTCTGATTAATTCCTGAAAACAAATCTACAACACATCTTGTCAGAGCAGTGCAATTGCTACTGCTCTGACTAGAATAAAAATAAGCTTAAAATTCTAACAACATGAGGTTAAAGTACCCAGCCCTTTTTAATCAGTAACAATTGTTGCATTACCTACCAACTCCATATGGTTATATAGTATATATTACATCTACTAGGTTGCATACCATTCTAAAATAAAAACTTTTTGCTTCATTTTCACAACCCCAAATATTAATTCTTAAGAAAATAGTTTTTGATTCTGGTCTCAGCACACAAACACTTTCTGAAGTGTTTTAAAGTTATTTTTTAAGTAAAATATCTTTTGCCAGTTTTGAGATCTGGCAAAGGTTTTTCATTTAAAAGGTCATATTTAATTACCGACTCAAAGCAGCTGTGGAGATACACAGACCCTGACAACACACTATTAATATGGTCTTTACATCCCAAAAAACTCTGACACTAGTTGATCCTGGAATTGACACAAATTGATCAAAGGCCCTAGGTAATGTCATATGACAAAGTCAATGTCTAAAATTATTCTCGTAATTACCATGTTAATGAACACACTCTGTTGTTACTGTTTGTAGTACAATAACACTTACTGGCCCCAAGGCAAACCAAAGCCCGATGCTTGCCCTGTAGCTACGTATACGTAGATTTCAGTCTTGGACTGTACAGATCTCATGGCAGAAGCTATCGCTCACATTAGTTACGGAAAATTTTCAGCTTTACTGTGCTTTGTACAATAATAATAATGTTGTGCTTGGTCTGGCTAGGATGGATTTAATTGTCTTCTAGCAGCTCCTATGGTCCAGTGTTGTGGATTTGGGACTAAAATAGCGTGGATGTACAAGTTATTGCTGAGCAGTGCTTGCACTCGGCTTTCTCTGGTTTCCCACTCTGCCCTCTCAGCAAGTAGGCTGGGGTGCACAAGAAGCAGGGAGGAAATGCACCTGGGACACATGAACTGAACTGACCAAAGGGACATTTCATACTGTACAACGTCTTGTTACATGATAAAGTCTGAGCGGGCTGGGGGATTGGTCTGGCAGGTAACCACTGCTCAGAGACTGGCTGGGCATTGGTTTACATCCCCTGGGGTTTTTTTTCTCCCTCTTTTTTCACTTACTAAACTGTCCTTCCCTC